TCTAAAAAGATAGCTATGATAATGGCTAAGCAGTCAGAACTGTAGTATCTAAAGAATATGCCCCGTTCCTCCCGCTGTCACCACCAGAGTCACCCACCCCAACTTTAAGGAGTGCGACTGCTCTTCCAGTAAACTTCGCTGCAAGTAGACGCTTTTTTCCCAGCCCACAACTGAACAGAACCTGCCCCAAAGGAAAATGCCTTCTGATTGGACAAATGTGCAAGTGTGACCTTCCTGAAGCCGAGTCAGACGGAGCTCACGGTGATTGGTTACAAGCTCTCCTTTCTTTTCCAATCAGGCAGCTATTCCGAAGAATGAGATCGTTCCATTCCCCTTGCGAGACGATTGCGCTCTATGATAGGGTCGCCCTGTAATAGTGACAGAAAACTCAGCCTATAAGCACCACGACGCGACTGGCAGCAGGGAAGGAGAGGGCAGTACAGCTGGAATCTGTGGCTGTCAGTTCGCTGCCACTTCCAAAGCTCTACCGGCCGCTCGCGCTATGGCCGCGCCGCCACAGGTGCGGGCTCTGCTCCTGGCCATCAACACACTGCTGCGTAAGCGCCGCTACCACGCTGCATTGGCCATGGTTAAGGGCTTTCGGAACGGAGCTGTGTAAGTGAGGCCGTCGGGCCGGGCTGGGGCTGAGGGCCGGTCCTGGCTGAGGTCTGAGGCGCCGTGCTGTGTGCTCTGGAGCAGCCCTCTTCTATCTCTAGGTTTCGGTGTCCACTGTGCAAAGGAAACTGAATTTTGTATTCCCAGCGCAGCTCTGGGCCAGGGCTCCCATTGTAGTTTCTGGGATCTCTGTGCTTTGCAACCTGGCCCTCTTGCTTTTAACGGCTCCATGCCAAGCCCCTGTATCCCCCCATTTGGGTCCAGTTCACCCCGCCTCGCTATGTGCCTCTGGGCCTGTCTGGCCTCAGTGGCCCCACCTGCACAATAGGAAACTGGACCCTGACCTCTACCAGGCAGACAGACATCTTTTGCCTATGCTGCCCATGGGCTCCCATTCTGCTTTTCGCTTCTCATCTGTCAAATCCCCATTTGGCAAGGGGGCTTCTGGGGTGTGACAATGAATGTAAAAGAAACTGCAACTATTCTAGCTGTTGTACCTGCAGAAGAGGTCTTAGGGTTATTTTGTCTGGCTGGTGCCCAGAGGGGAACTTGTCCTTCCTTATACCCCATGTATAACAGCCACCATTTATTGAGGGCCTACTATGCCAATATTGGGAACAAAGAAGAGGAACAAACAAGACAAAGGTCTGCATCCCCCTGGAGTTGGCATCTTCCTGGCAACATGTGATGGTGGTCAGTCTCATCTTCATTTTGAACCCTGGTCCTACCTATCTGTGTGGTCTTGAGCAAGTCATTTAGTTTCTCTAAGCCACAATTTCCACAAAATGGGCATGACAATAGTACTCACACTATCAGGATTGAGTAAATACTTATGAAATGTGCAGCACAGCGCCTGATGTATAAAAAAATCACTGTTGGCTGTTACTATTGTTATACTCATATGGGTGGCTCCCTATTTTATTTTCTCACCTTTTTCACGTCTCTGTTTATGTGTTGCCTCCTCATGGAGGCCATCCCTGAACTCCCTACCTCCTCCTCCTCTATTTTTTCTTTATAGTACTTGTCACCATCTGACTCTAAGTAGTTCACTTATGTATCTTTTTTTTTTTTTAAGAGTTGGAATCTCACTCCGTCGCCAAGGCTAGAGTGCAGTGGCAGTATTATAGCTCACTGAAACCTCTAATTTCTGGACTTAAGGGATCTTCCTGCCTTAGCCTCTTGAGTAGGTGGGCTTACACAACCCACCACCACACTAATTTTTTTTCTGAGACGGAGTCTCATTTGTTGCTCTGGGTAGAGTACTGTGGCATCACAGTTTACAGCGACCTCCAACTCTTGGGCTTAAGCGATTCTCTTGCCTCAACCTCCCAAGTAGCTGGGACTACAGGTGCCCACCACAATGCCTGGTTATTTTTATTTTTTGGTTGTAGTTGTCATTGTTGTTTGGCAGGCCCAGGCTGGATTTGAACCCACCAACTCCAGTGTATGTGGCTGGTGCCCTAGCCACTGAGCTACAGGTGCCAAGCCAACACACTAATGTTTTTAAAATTATTTTTTGTAGAGATGGGATCACATTATGTTTTTCAGGCTAGTCTCTTAACTCCTGGTCTCAGGCCATCCTCCCACTTAGGCCTCCCATATTGATAAGATTATATGTGTGAACTACTGGACCCAGCCTAAATCCATGCCTGGCCTGTATCTTGTTTTGTCTTTTTTTTTTTTTTTGTGAGTGAGACAGAGTTTCGCTTTGTCACCCTTGGTAGAGTGCCATGGCGTAGTAGCTCACAGAAACCTCAAACTTCTGGGCTCAAGTAATCCTCCTTCTCACCCTCCCAAATAGCTGGAACTACAGGCACCTGCCACAGCACCCAGCTGTTTTTAGAGATGGGGTCTTGCTCTTGCTCAAGCTGGTCTCAAACTCCTAATCTCAAGTAATCCACCTACCTCAGCCTCCCAGAGTGCTAAGATTACAGGCGTGAGCCCCCACATCCAGCCCCTTATGCCTGGCCTGTATCTTGGTTTTTTGTTTTTTTTTTTTTTTTTTTTTTTTTGAGACAGAACCTCAAGCTGTCACCTCACAGCAACCTCCAACTCCTGGGTTTAAGCGATTCTCTCGCCTTGACCTCCCAAGTAGCTGGAACTACAGGCACCTCCACAATGCTGGGCTTTTTTTGGCTGTAGTTGACATTGTTGTTTAGCAGGTCTGGGCTGGATTCGAACCCACCAGCTCTGGTGTATGTGGCTGGCTTTATCCGTTTGAGCTATAAGCACCAAGCCTGTATCTTGTTTTTATAGTCCATCTCTGTCACTGGAAAATGAGCCTTGGGCTGGACACGGTGACTCATGCCTATAATTCTAGCACTCTGGGAGGCAGCGGCAGGAAGATTGCTTGAGCTCAGGAGTTTAAGACCAGCCTGAGCAAAAGGAAGACCCCATCTCTACTAAAAATAGAAAAATTAGTTGGATGTGGTGGCTCACACCTGTAGTCTCAGCTACTCAGGAGACTGAGGCAGGAGGCCTGCTTGAATCCAGGAGTTTGAGGTTGCTACAAGCCAGGATGAAACCCAAGTAAGATTCTGTCTCAAAAAAAAAAAAAAAAAAAAAAAAGCGTCATGAAGATAGAGATTGTATGTGTTTTGTTCCTTGATGTGTTTGTATTCCTAGCATCTAGTAAGTACCTGACAGACACTCGAATATTTATTGAATGAATGAATGTGTGTAAAGTAGGAATTGCCATTGTCTCCATTTTCCAGATGAAAAGACTATGGCTCAGAAGTAAACCCATTGCTCACAGTCACATCACTCGGTCAAGGCTGAGTTGTTGAGCCAGAAATCAAACCCAGAGATGCCCCATCCCAATGCCAGACCCTTGGCTTCTGTGGCCATTCAAAATCAGGTAGAAACTGGTTCCCACTGGATCTGGCCACATTATATCAACCACTGAGATAAGACCAAGGTGAGATGGACCCTGACAGAATGATGGCCCCTTTGCCAGGCTATTCACAGGGCAAAGCAAGAATGGATAGGAATCACACAGGCCCTGGTGCCAGCAGGCATTGCCCAATGCCAACTTTGTGCTTGCTCCCACTCCCACTCTGTGTAATCTCAGAGGACCTTCTCAGCCAGATCAGGCACTTATTGGGGTTAGGCCCTAAGGCTAGAGTACCAGTTTCATTCTTTTATTTATTCATTGATATTTTGAGATAGAGTCTCACTCTGTTGCCAGGCTAGAATCCCCTGGCTTCAGCCTAGCTCACAGCAACCTCAGACTCTTAGGTTTAAGTGATCCTCCTGCCTCAGCCTCTGGAATGGCTGGTAGGAGTAGGGAGGAGGGGCAGTAGCCTGCAGTGTGTTCAAGGCTAAAAAGGTGCCTGGGCTCTGTTCTGTGAGTAGGGGAAAGGTCTTGGTTGCTTTTAAGCTTGAAGCAATGTGATGAGATTTACATTTTTTAAAGATGGGAATGTTGACCAGGGGTCACCCTTATAATCCTAGGACTCTGGGAGGCTGAGGTAGGTAGATTGCCCGAGCTCAGGAGTTCAAGACTAGCCACAGCAAGAGTGAGACCTCGTCTCTAAAAATGGCCAGGCATTGTTGTGGATGCCTGTAGTCCCAGCTACTCAGGAGACTGAGACAAGAGGATCTCCTCAGCCCAAGAGTTTGAGATTGCTATGAGCTATGATGCCACAACACTCTACTGAGGATGACAAAGTGAGAATCTGTCCCAAAGAAATAAAATAAATAGGCTTGGCGCCTATAGCTCAACCGGCTAAGGCACCAGCCACGTACACCTAAGGTGGCGGGTTCGAATCCCCAGCCCGGACCCGCCAAACAACAATGACGGCTGCAACCAAAAAATAGCCAGGCGTTGTGGCGGGCGCCTGTGGTCCCAGCTACTTGGGAGGCGGAGGCAAGAGACTCGCTTGAGCCCAGGAGTTGGAGGTTGCTGTGAGCTGTAATGCCACGGCACTCTGCCCAGGGGGACAGCTTGAGGCTCTGTCTCAAAAAAAAAAAAAAAAAAAAGAAATAAAATAAATAGGGCAGCGCCTGTGGCTCAAAGGAGTAAGGCACTGGCCCCATATGCCAGAGGTGGCAGGTTCAAACCCAGCCCCGGCCAAAAACTGAAAAGAAAATATATATATACAAAAAAATAAATAAAATAAATAAGGAAAAGAAAAAATGGGAATGTAAGGATGGAACTAAGGGAGCAACGCCATGAAGCCAGTTGAGCAAGGTTGGTGGAGACCTTTTATATATACTGTCTTCTTCCATCAGAATGATAGCCAGCCCTCTGAGGTTTAACATCCCTATTTATAGTTGGGGAACCTGAGGTTCAGGGAAGTTAAATGACAAGCCTGAGCCCACACTATCAGGTAGTATCAGAGCTGAGATTTGAATCCAGATCTAACTATAAAGCCAGCATTATTTCCTCTCCCAGAGAAGTGTTAGAATTAGGGATGAAAAGGGGATAAGGAGTCAGAGGGAGGGCCCCGAAAGATAACCATGGTACAGTGATGCTGTAGTAACTGTGTTCTTTGTTTCCACAGCTATGGAGCCAAAATCCGGGCCCCTCATGCGCTGGTCATGACCTTTCTCTTCCGGACTGGCAGGTAGCTACCCATTATGGATACCCTTCAAACTAGGAGACGATGTGGTCACCCCTCCGTGCCAACATGGCTGCAGTACCTTCCTCACTGAGTCTAGCCTGTCCCCCTGCCACACCTCCTAAAGTCCAACTCTGAGCCTGTTGTCCCTGTTAATACTGCCCTGTGACCTCCAAAGAAGCCCAACTTCCAGGCCTGTTGGGTGCCCCAGGGTGGGCACATTTTTTACTGTGCCCACCCTGGGGTACCCTTGGCACACAGAACTCACTGCCATTCCGTGCACATGTCACATGTGGTTTCATCTCCCACATTTGCTCATGCAGTATCCCCTTCCAGAAATGTCTTTCCTCTCTTACCCCATCATCATTTCCCTCCCCACAACCCATACTGGTTCTCTGAGGATCACTTCCTCTGGGAAGCTGTCCCTCATCTCTCCTCTCTCATTCAAGCTTCTTGGCCTCCCTCTGATCTCCTGTAACTATTCCCTCAAGGCAATTCTCAAACAAAATGTGTGGCCTAGTTATGATATATATAGACTCACACGAATCCTAACAGGAATCATACTGGTTTTTTGGGTTTTTTATTCCCTCTAAATCATTTTTTAAAAATCGAACTCATGGGAAGCTCCCGTGGTTCAAAGGAGTAGGGCACCGGCCCTGTATGCCGGAGGTGGCAGGTTCAAACCTAGCCCTGGCCAAAATCTCCAAAAAAAAAAAAAAAAAAAAAAAATCAAACTCATTCATTTAGCAAATATTTATTGAGCATCTATTATGAGTCAGACATTGTTCTAGGTGCCAGGGATGCAGCAATGAATAAAACAATGACCATGCCCTCCTAGAGCTTACGTTCCAGCACTGGGTAGCCAAAAATAACCATAATAAATGAGGAAAGTACATGGTATGTTAGAAGGCAATATGGCTGCAGAAAAGAAAAAATAGAGCAGGGAAAGAAGGAAAGGGGATCCTCGGAGGTGCTGGGTGCAGCAGGTTACAAAATTAAATAGGGAAGGCCTCTGTAAGAAAGTGATGTTGTAGTGAACACTTGTTGGGAAATGAAAGGGTTGGCCAAGTGGCTGTCAGGGGAGAGAATGTTCCAGGCTTTTGGAGCAGCCTGTCCAAAGGTCCTGAGGAAGGATCATGCCTGTGAGTGGGAGGGACTGAAGGTGAGAGAAGATTGGGGTCACAGCAGAAACCTGCATGGGTTCTCTCCAGCTTTAGAGCTTTAAACCTTAGAGAGGAGTTTGGCTTTTTTCTTTAATCAGGTAATCATTATAGGATTTTGAGCAGGAGGGTGCATTATTTGACTTATGTTTTAACAGTGTGAAAGTTAAGAATTTGCTGCCAGGTTAAGAAGAGATTGGTATGGCGGGAGGTCAAGAGGGACTGTGCAAAGGCAGAAATAGGTTTGCACTGGAAGGCTGTGGCAATGATCCAGATGAGCAATGATGGTAGCTCAGGTCTTAGTGGCAGTAGTGAAAGGGAGGAGAGTGGTCAGTCTCTAGAAATGTTTCGAAGGCAGTATTAGTGTCCACATTTATAAACTGGGAGATTTCACATGAGAATCCAGCTTTCTTGCCTTAGAATTTGTTGGTATAGGATGAGAACCAACTGCTCCTGGTGTCCCCACCCACCTGGCAGATTCCACAGGGCCTGGTGGAACCATCTCACTCTTTTAGGGTGGCTTGAGTTTGCCAGTCCTGAACTGAGGAGTACATGCTGCTCCTCTCCCTGCCTTCTTTTTGCTGCCCCCTAGTGATGATATTTATTTATTTATTTATTTTTAATTTTTTTTTTTTTTCTGAGAGAGAGTCTCACTATGTCGCCCTGGGTAGAGTGATGTGGTGTCATGGCTCACAGCAACCTCAAACTCTTGGGCTTAAGCGGTTCTCTTGCCTCAGCCTCCCAAGTTGCTGGGACTATGGGTGCCCACCACAACACCCAGCTATTTTTTGTTGTTGTTGTAGTTGTCATTGTTGTTTGGCAGGCCCAGGCCGGGTTTATGTGGCTGGCGCCCTAGCTGCTGAGCTACAGGCGCTGAGCTTTATTTATTTATCTTTGAGACAGAATTTTACTCTGTTGCCCTGGGGTTGAATTCTGTGTCATAGCTCACAGCAACCTCAGACTCCTGGGCTCAGGCCATTCTCTTGCCTTAGCCCCCGGACTACAGGTACCGAATACATTGCCCCACTATTTTTAGAGGTGGAGTCTCCTCCAATTCAGGTTGGTCTCCAACTCCAGAGCTCAGGCGATCTGCCTACCTTGGCTTCCCAGAGTGCTGAGATTATAGGTGAGCCACCATGCCTAGCCCCTAATGATTCTTAAAATCATTCTTAAAACCTCCTCTACTTAAATGTCACTTCTCAAGACAAAAACCAAGCAGCCCAACTCCAGAGCCTCTGCCCCAATCCTTCTCCTCACACATTCTCAGCTCAGGCCACAGTTGCTTTTCTCTGTTCCTTTATTCTCCATGCTTGATCCCTTCTCAGGGCCCTTTCCTGTGCTGAGCCTTGTGCCGCTGATGCAACCTCCCACCCCCTTGACCTCATGCACTCTTTCCCATTCATCAGCTCTTTCCTCAAGGACAAAGTTTGAGCCTTTTGTGATTAGTTCACATTTCCTGCTGCTGCCTTTGGAACATAAGCCCCATGAGCGTAGTGAGTAGATCTTTTTTTTTTTTTGAGACAGAGTCTCACTTTGTCCCCCTTGGTAGTGTGCTGTGGCTTCACTGCTCACAGCAACCTCCAACTCCTGGGCTCAAGCGATTCTCCTGCCTCCGCCTCCCAAGTAGCTGGGACCACAGGCGCCTGCCACAACACCTGGCTATTTTTTGGTTGCAGCCATTATTGTTGCTTGGCGGGCCTAGGCTGGATTCAAACCCGCCACCTTAGGTGTATGTGGCTGGCGCCTTAGCCACTTGAGCCACAGGCGCCGAGCCGAGTAGATCTGTTTTTTCACAGAATTGTGTCCCCAGATCCAGCATGTAGTGGACACTCATTCTTGTATTCCTTTCTTCACATTTATCTAAAAAAAAAATGTATTAGTTGGGCATGGTAGCTCGTGTTGTAGCCCCAGCTACTCCAGAGGCTGAGGTGGGGGTATCACTTGAACCCAGGAATGTGAGACCAGTCTGGGGAACATAGTGAGACCACATCTCTAAATGAATAAATGAATGAATAAAAAATTTATTGAACATATACTACATGCCAAACCCTACTGTGGGTCCTGAGGCTAAATAAGCCATATCTATATACCATCCTCTGGTAACTTGTCCTTGGGTAGGACAAAGGTTGGGGAAAATAATAAACAAGCATGTAGATGTCAGGTATGTCAGGTGGTGATATGGAGAAGAAAAGTAGTGTCAGAGGATGGGATGTGATGGGCATTGTTTTCTGTAGGGTGATCAGAGAAGGCTTCTCTAAAGAGATGGTGTTGAGTCAAGGCCCCCAAGGACACGGTGGGTAGAGGCCTGGATGGAATGAGCAATGGCCATGAGCTCCGTGGCTGGTACAGTTTTGCCATTGGAACAACGAGGCCTGTTCTCATGGGGGACTCCATTTCTGTGCAGCCTCCAGGAGAAGCTTCGGGCCATTCTGCAGGCCACGTACACCCACTCCCGCAGCCTGGCCTTCTTTGTGTTTACCTACAAGGGTCTCTGTGCCCTGCAGTCCCACGTGCAGGGCAAGACCTACCAATTTCACTCCTTCCTGGCTGCTTTCATCGGGGGCATCCTGGTGTTTGGAGACAACAACAACATCAACAGCCAGGTAAAGATGAGTTCCCCGGGGCGGTGGGGGGGGGGGGCTGGGACATGGGCCCTGGATCAGGTACAGAGGTGAGGGTTGGGGTTGAAGAAGATGAGCTCTTGGACCCTTCCTTGCCTGAGGTCTATGATTTTCCAGTCCCTGTGTGACCTTGGGAAGGTCGCTTACCCTCAGATTCTCCATCTGTCAACCCAAGTAGCTTGATGAAGTTCCATAATTCCCAAAATTAATGTATGTACTGCTCTCCGGGGCAAAGTTTTTATGCAAAAAACCACTCTCTAGTGAAATGAGGAAAAAAATGACCCTAGAGTGAAAGAAAACACTAAACTCCAAGAATCATCTCTTATGGCTGATCCAACTGCAGTGGTGTTTACAACTATTTCATCACTGGCTCGATGCCTGTGGCACAATCGGCTAAGGCGCCAGCCACATACACCTAAGGTGGCGGGTTCGAATCCCCAGCCCGGGCCCGCCAAACAACAATGATGGCTGCAACCAAAAAA